ATCTTACGCTCTGGACTACTTTTCTTCGTTGAGATTTCATTAACTGCGTTTAAAAATATCTCTGTTTTGAAAAGAAGGTATGTACTGTGTAGTAAGAAAAACACTTTTTTCATTTTGTAATAATGTCAGAAACACATTTCACTATTATCTATGCTAGTTTCTTGGACTGCAGCCATCTCAAAGACTATTTTTATTTATAAATTGCGTTTATGAGGACTTTCAGATTACGTGTAGGCGTCGGATTTTTAATAATACACCTCTCATGTTGACTTATATTATTTAAACCTGTTCTTAATTTAAACGAAACTTTTGGAGCTACAACTGGAGTACCCATAAAATCAAAATAAACCGAGATGCTTTGAAATACGGCTACTCGCTATGCTGTGACAATCGCTGTACTCTTGACTGCTCAGGTTTTTGAAATCGCATTTGATTCATGGGAAACAGATGGTGACAAAGTTTAACTGTTGGAGTAAGCCTAGTAACTAGATAGCGGTGCTGCTCAGGTACTTTTGAATTATACACTGGGATGGATCGAAAAATGTTTGTCATATTAAAACATTTTATGTTTATTTAAATTGTTTTAACGTGTCTAACAACCCGCGTGATGCAAAGTGCAATATTCTAGGTGAATCTTTAGAGCGTTATAAGGTAAAACTTTCCAGTCTGATCCTATCACCCATCAAAATACAAAGCAGACACATTATCAAGTTGTCGGAGTTTATTGTCCTAGTTTCTGTCTTTAACGTCGTACACTTGAATTTTCAATTATCTTGTCATTACTTTCATAATCCTTATAAACCGCAGAAGTGACAGCACCAGCTCTATGTGATATCCCGTATCTACAACAAATGCTTGATAAATTCTTCAAAAAATGTATTTTTCGCTTTTTGCTTCTCGTGTGATTCATAATAGGTTTTCAATTTGTTGTTTCTGTCAATCTGTTGAATATTTGATGTAATCTTTTTCCTGTTTGTTCTCTGGATTAAGAAAGCTCGTTCTCCTTTAGCAACCTTATGACCTTTCAAACAAGTACATAGGTCAGCATTTTTATAATTACACAGACTCAAATCAAACAGTTTTTCAGAGCTTTTGTGAAAATCTTGGACATTACTTTCGGATAGTCGTTTTGCATATTTAACCAGATTTATGAGAAACGGTGACAACATTTTAGTGACGAAGCAAGTTCAGTGACTAGATAGTGGTGCTGTTTAGGTATGTTTATCGTACACTGGGAACGGTCGAAAACTGTTTTGCCTCTACATTACTTTTTGATAGTCGCCTTACATATTTAATTAGATTCTTTCACTTTACATGGTAACCTTTAAGTAATTTTAACGCCCAATTCGATACCTCCGCGTAACAGAAAGTTGGCGCCATCGTGTGTACTCAAACTGGCTCCGCTACGCGCTGTCACGGCAGATCCGCTCAGGAGAGCGTGGCCAGCCATGATTAAACCGCTGAGCTACAGCATATCCGAAGGTTACGCTGTTCTGGGGAGAAACAGCTCACCGGCAAGCTTTTCAGCAGACAGATATGAAAGTTTAGCTTTGCAAGATAATTCGATGTTAGACTGCAATCAAATAACCTAGGTACCTCTGTGTTTTACCCGTCAGACTTCACCCATTATTAATGCAAATGTTCACTTATGAATGGTAAATTGATCTATTTTCTTAACAACGTCACCAATTCGTGGTTTATGCTGTTTTCTGTTGTACATCCACTGCAGAGCGGGTACCTTCGGAGAACCTGTTGCTGAGCAGTTGTATCGCGGCTGCCCAGAGGTGCACAGATGTAGCCTGGAGTTATATAGCAAGAGCCCCTCGTATATCTCCCTAATTGGTGTACTTATATCTTATCTTTATAAACAACCCCATATTATAAATTCTTGTTTGTGCCTTTTATGCATCAGTTTACATCAGCTATTACTTTAGGATACATCTATTAGTCAATCGCTTGTAAGCTCGCGTAGTCTTAGGTTTGGTAACAAAACCATTGTTGCCTGAAACGATACTTGTACTTTAAGTAAATAAAGTGTATTAAATCGCCTGCAAAACGATACCTAAATCCTGGCAGCCGTAGCTGAGCGAGTTCAAGTGCACTCCGTGGCGCCGATCGCCTATTATGCGGAGATGTCGGGGTTAAACTACTAATATTTTTTGGTAGTATTTCAAAAATATCATGACTCTTTTTGAATTGTATTGTACGATAGCCTATTGAATTATAATTTCACCAACTCTGTGTACGTGGATAGTTGATTTATCATTCCTTCAGGAACACCATAGATATCTCAAGTTTAGGCATTATGGGTACGTACTATTTCAAACTCTATATTAAACAACGACACTTTCTTCGAAACCGACTGACACCTCTCTGGCCTGCATTTATCTCACGGTTAGCGTGGTATTTTTGCTTACTGGTGATTTGTATTCAATATAATTGAAGTCACTAAATAGCGCTTTAGGTAATTTAATTTAAGATACAAGTATTTCAACAAAAGTATGAATTTTTGGTAGTTCTTTTAAAATTCAAACGCTATGCGCGGGTAGCTAATATACCAGGTTTTTAGTCTTAAATCGGGCCACGCTTTGTGCCCTATTACAAATTAAAATAGAAAAAAGTCGACCCTTTCTGTTGTGCAGTGAATTTGCAGTATGTATACAATAAAATTAACAGAAGAATGCATATAAATTAACTAAAGCAAAAAAGTTGGTTTTGATCGTTGCTTTTACTTCCCACGCCATAACAACTGGCGAGAAAGTATTGTAATAGTGAAAGATTCTGTAATTGGACGTTATATTTCTTGGATGATGATCACGATAAACATTGTCACTTATTTTCATCCATTTCTCTGCATTCGATATTCTTGGGACCCTCCAAAACTCCAAATTCATACTGTTTGGACTTTGATGAAACTTTGACACAAGGTTACTACCATGACATCGGAAAAACTCTACAGGGTTTGAAAATCGCTCCATGGAGGAGGTGACAAAATATTTCAGGACATCCCCAAACTTCACACTAAAATAATTTTTATGTACTGCTAATTTTTGGGCGTAACTAAAAGTTTTTTCTGAGGTGTCAATTTAAAAAACATGTCATGCTTTGTTTTTGTTGTGTTTCACCCTACTGGTCACCCCACGACGTAGTAAAAAAATTAGGGGGGATGCAAAAATTCTGAGAGTACAATTATTACTTTATATCAGGAAGGACCCCGGACAAAGCGTATGGAATATGGATCCCTGTCGATTTGCCTAATTGTTATGTATCATACATTTTATGACTTTCTGAACAAAAGTTCTTACGGGCCGAAGCAATTATATGATTAGTTTCTGAGTATTAAGGAGTATTGAATATTCCTATTTGCAAAAAATGGTGAAAGTGCATATAAAATCAATTTTTAAATTAATCGAAAAAACATAAATACAGCATGTACGGAATCTGGGAGACCTTTGTGAAATAGCTGGTGCTCTTACGGGAGGTGGTAATGTTGCATCAGCGCTTCTGAAAATAATTTTTAATTACAAAGAGAGGTAGATGGTCGAACAATCAATCAAATAAAATGTAAGTTATTAACAGAATAATTCAATTCGGAGTAAAAAGCGTGGGGTGCATTTTACAACATTTTCATAACTTTCCTCTCATAGATAGTTGCCATTAGAATGATTGTAACATTTAATATATCAAGCACCCCACGATTTTTACTCTGAATTGAATTATTCTCTTAATAACTTGAATTTTATTGTAATTTTATTTTGAGGTCATTAATTATGATTGATTGTTTGGCCATCTACTACTGGAATATAAACTCTTTGTAATTAAAAATTTTCTACTTTTTATTTCGGTTAGTTATAAAAGCGTGTCTCTTAGTTTTTTAAACTGTTATTTACTGTATGGCCATTTAAAACATATATGGTTTATCACACCTGTTTTCGTTACTAAACAAAAGCTCAAATTTTGTATGACGTTTATTCAGTTTGCATCTAACCGCATATGCAGCTTTATATAAGATCTGATATATAGATATTCAAATGACAAATAAAACTGAAGCTTTTGACTAAAGTAATGTGACAGTATTGAAAATCATATACATTTGGAATCAGGAAAAATTCGAGTTTCATTTTCACCAAAAATATACACGGTGTTCCATTTCAAGGAGATAGCACTTTTCTGAAAAACAAAAAAGTCTTATACTAGAGCCTAATACTTTCATCCATAACTTTTTCCCAACATGTCATACAAAAAGGTGAAGATAGGTGCCATTTTCTTGGCAGGATATCTATTACTTATAGAATTGTCGGTAAGCACTTGAAAACCCGAAAGCATCCTGTACACACCAACACCATATTGGTAATATATTAGCTTTCAGAGCAACGCAATTCGGCGTTGTTAGGCCACATTTCTCAAACTGGTGGCGTCACTATCCTGTTAGACCAATTATTAAATGGTTTATCTGATGGTATTTAAGTACTAGGTAGGTACAGAGTTCGGTCCGAGCAACATTTTATGGTGATTTCGGGTACCAGAAAATAAATTACATCCTGTAATAGTTACCTTGTCTTAGATATGTTCCGCCATTAGCCAGTTCTATGGGTCGAAGCCTCATACAGGGCGATCTAAAAAACAATTAGAGCCTTTCTAGGATAGAAAATATATTAAAAAATTACAGGTGCAAAAAATATATATAGCATTATGTAAAATGTAGTACGGACAGCATAACAGATACATGCCAAAAAGTTCGCAGGTAAAACTACATCAGAAGCGTAGAAACTGGGATGATTTAGTCCCTTCAGAAGAGGAAAAAGTATTTTGCACTCTACCAAATTTTTAGAAACATCCATTGCATTGTATGATATTTGATCAGCTTTACTTGCATTTTTTCTAGAGAAATTCTTATAAGACCTATTGGGAAAAATGATGTTTGAGGTGAGGACCGTTTAAAAACTCAAAGCTATTCTAATTTGAGAACACGTCAAAGTTAGTAAAGTTAACATTCTTACCTGCACTCATGTGATACCACAGTCAGTGTCACCAGTAGGGTAGAAATGTACCTGTATCTATTGGGTAATGGAAACTTGTTGTGTTTATAAAATCTTAATAAATATTTGCTTGGCTTCAGCACTAGAATTATTGTCAATATTTTGGATCACCTTGTATAAGTACGTTTGTTATTTCGTAGTTATCGGCACTAGGCGGCGAAGATCTGGATCTGAAAAAAATGCGCTCGATGAATACTAATTTTATGGGCGTTAATTATATTTGGACCCAAAATTTATTGATTATGTGTTACGTAAGAGCGTTAAAAATATTCTCTACGCTGCCCTGCAGATAGGGTCAAGTACCTTTTATGTCCAGGTTGTCTGATGAAGATTCGATAGTCAGAAAAATTAGCAACCAGTCTTCCTTTTACAAAAGAAGTTTTTATACAAAAGTTACATGGGATCAAAGCAGGAGTCATATACGCGGTTCAGCGCCAGGCTATGATTGTTAAATTGACTGAATACGCTCTGAACTCATTTGGTTAGGTGGAAGAGCGCAGATTGACAACTAATGGTTGTCAATCAAGCGAACCTTGCCGTTTGCTCACTGGATCAGGTTTATGTACTATTTCTTTTTCTGTACTTAAATGAGCAATAAAAGCAATTTATTATTATCATTATTATTATTATTATTATTTAGTTCAACTTCAGAGACCATATTATGGTGAAGCTTGCGAACTCAAATAAAAGCCATTATTTTTAACCGCATATTTAGTAAGAGCGAATTCTATGTCAGAGTTTGCTTTCATACATGTGGCCTAACTGCCACGCCAGCATGAAAAGATTGAGATGTCCGTGCCTAAAATGCCTGGCGTATATCGTTCAATTCTTTTCTTGTACCACAAGCTAACATCACCGGTAACATACCCAGCACACTGCACAGAGTACGAATGCAACATTCGTAACTATGAGGGTGGTCCCAGAAGTACCCGACTCAACGAAGAAAACACAATTTTGTAAAAAAATTTATTTATTTTTCAACATAATCTCCTTTGAGCTCTATACACTTTTCCCAGCGATTTGTGAGCTGGTGCATTGTCTTGATGAAACAACTCTTTCTTCTTAACCAAATGCGGCCGTTTTTGCTTGATACAATCGCTCAAACGTTGCAGTAAATTCGCATAATACTCGCCGTTGATAGTTTTACCTTTTTCAAGATAGTCAATGAAAATTATCCCAAGCGCATTCCAAAAAACCGACGCCATAACCTTGCCTGCAGGTGAAACGGTCTCCGCCTTCTTTGGAGCCGGTTGTCCCTTTTGAGTCCATTGTTTTGATTGTCTTTTGTCTCGGGTGTGAAGTGATGGGCCTATGTTTCATCCATGGTTATGAAACGATGCAAAAGTTCTGCTTTGTTGCTGTGAAACTTCGCGCTAAACACTCAATTGAAACATCTTCACGACACTGTTTTCGCTCGATTGTGAGCAATCGCGGCACCCATCTTACACACGGATTTCCCATGTCCAAATTTTCAGATAATATGCGATGAACCGCACGTTTTGCAATGCCTTCTATATCTGCTAGCTCGCGCACTTTCAGTCGACGATCATTCAGTACCGGTTTGTGAATTTTCTTCACCATTTCTGGAGTCGTCACCTCATTCGGTCGACCACTGCGATGCTCGTCCTGGCAGTTCATGGCTGCGTCCCAATATTTTACAGTTGCAAACGGAGGAGCAGACTCACCCAGAGTAGAATCCAGTTCAGCTTTTACATTGGTTGGGCTGAGGCCTTTGAAATAAAAGTACTGTACCATATAACGATGACCGATTTTCTCCATTTTCACAAATTCACTGAAGACGTTCAGTATTGATGGCTGCCAAACAAATACTAAACAAACTTGACACATATGCTTTACAGGTTGCACACTTTCTAATACAATGATATTTTTCAAACAACTATCGCCATCTCTAGGTCAGGCCGGGTACTTCTGGGACCACCCTCGTAAATGGTCCACATGTATCAATAAGTTTCTATTGTAAAGATTATAATAATAATAAAAATAATAAAGCATTTACAGGTACCAGAGGGCAATAGTACAATGGTTTAATTTACACAGTCTGTGTGCCATAAAGTGAAACAAAAAAACACAAAAAAAGAGAAAGGTGCTTTAAGTAGAGAGAAAAGAAACTATGATTATGATTAATAGATATTATCATGTAATGTTTACGCATAAATATTTATAACAAATGAAAATCTCTAGAGAAAGCGGTAAAAAAGTCAACGATGTAAGCGTATAGCACTTCGTAATTCCTGAAATCCCCAACAGAAGATAACACAAAAATTCACAATCCTATTCGCATTATTGCACATAAAGTTTATTGGTGCTTTAGATAGAAGATTTGTCTGTGCCCTGTTGCAGGAAAAGGAAACTTTATATTTCGATGTCAATCTAGGTACCAGTTCTTAATTCGGCTGATTGTATATAAAATTTAGAACTCGTACGTCTAGACGTTGGCACAGTGTATGCAAATCTTCAATCTGTAGTATATCTCTTCAACCATCTGAGAAAATTGTTATTGAAACACACATAGGCCGACACTACTACCGGGAGCCAGTTATTTCAGTTTGGATGCTGGGAGTTGAATTCATCCTGACCTTGATCAGATACAAGTCGATAACCGCCGATTTTTTCCTCAATATGCGAGGATCTATCATCGTAAGTTTTTTACTTAAAATAGTACAATAAGCGAGTTCGTTTATTAATTATAACATAAACGTATGTTCTACAATAATTTCACTGTTAGTTTGATTAAATTCCGCTTCTTATACGTTTAAGTTATCTAAAAATAGGCAAAAAATTAACGAATTTTAGTGTGTACCTATCCTTGAATTTTCAGAATAATTAAATAAAAATATTTTCTATAAAGGGGGGTTCTTTAAAAAAATCAATGCGGGCACTTATTCCCAATGCGGGCATTTATTGGTCAGACACCAATAAACATAAAATAAACTATAAATAAAATAACATAAGCAATAAGTCAATATTTTGATGAAAGTGTTCGTCATTTTCTTCAGACAACTGCGCAAATAACCGCGTATTCAACGCGTTGCTTCGGATTCGGTTTATTGCATCAATGACTAAATGAAGTGATTCATGCAATCTAACACTCAAATTTTTAGCAACTAAATGTTGTCAATGGATGACGCAATGTATCGCTAACACCCCTGACACATTTTGTTTTAAATAGCTTATAAATCCACGATAACGTCCAACCATGGCAGGTGCTCCATCTGTAGCTACTGATATTATATTTGATAAAGGAATTGCTTTTTCAATGAAGTAATCCTTCAAAACATAAAATATTGATTCACCTTTAGTGTCGGTTATCAAAGTTCTTGCGAAGAGCAGTTCTTCGTAGATTTCTTGATTCATAATAAAACGAACATATGCCAATAATAATGCTGCATTATCAGGTAAAGTTGACTCGTCCAGTGTATAGAGAAATGGTGCGTTTGCAAATAATTACATAAGAAGCTTTCAATATTAGAACTCATTTCATCAATACGTCTTTCAACAGTATTTTTGCTTAAGGGAATTATTTTAATTATATCAGATGCAGGTTTGTATAAAACAGTTTTTAAAACCTCTTCAACGGCTGGCAAAATTAACTTCTCTCCGATACTATGCGGTTTTCCGGATTTTGCTATAAGTAACGAGATATTGTAAGACGCCCGCAAACCATCATCATTTCTTTGTGACGTCGAAGCGAACATTCTGTCCAGTGTAGGTCTCTTCTGAAATTTATCTTTGATTGTTTGAAAGTATTTCAAATCTTTCTCTGTTTTATCAGGGTGGCATCTTCTCAGATGTATGTGTTGCATAAAAGGCACATAGGCGATTGTTTGTCCGGTAATGATGGAATGAAGCCAAATTTCAAATAATCAACACTGTACTGTCTACATTTCTTTTTAGATTCGGACATGGCATCAGTCATCTGTGGGCAAAATTAAATTATTTAAATAAGACAGAAAATCCAGCAGCTGTATATTAAAAATATTTTTTGATTTTTCCGAAAACATTCCATAATTCGAACATCTTCTTGCAACAATAAGCTCGAATTACGGAGATTGCACTGTAATTATATTACCGATTGCTAAAACTTTCAAAAGGAAACTATTGAGGAGTACTCGTGTAATTTTGCATGATTGAATATTTAAGTACTAATAACTAAAGTCATGATTGGCGTAATTTATCTATCTTTGCTAACTACGAGTACAAAACTAAAATTAATAAAAATAATGTACTTACTTTTCTCCAGCACTCCCAAACAAAATAACACTGACTCACTATAATTTGTGTGATATACTATCTGTTTATTTTTTTAAATATTTTCTTAGCACTTTCCTTTTCAAGATTCAGGAAACGAATAAACGTATTTGTCCCACATTCGTATTTATAGAGTGACGAATTGAACAAGTCAGTGCAAGATAGCGAAGCTCTGAGACTGCGACTCTCAGGTTTTTACAAGTTCAAAATGTATTGCGACCACAAAGCGAATACCAACATCCTACAACCTAACCATTTTATAAACATATATAAAATTTTTACCAGGTACTTTTATAATATGTATATGTGTGATATTATAAGATGTATGAGTAAAAATAGGTACACGATGTGTTGAGACCACACGGGACATATCGTTTCATACCCAAATTTTTTCGATGACGTAGACCCCTTGCTGGTTGTCATAGACCCCTAGGGGTCGATATAGACCACTTTGGGAATCAATGGTCTAGACGTACGTGTTCGTCACAGAGGAAAAATGATAGGCAAGAAACGATCACACAGCTGCATCGTATAATTTTCGAGATAGCATACTGTACGCTCTACACTTATGTAAGACGACCTTGAAATCTCAAAATTACTTATTGTTCACGTAATTAATAAATTAGAAAGCCAATATCACGATTACCATAATACATACATACTAAGAATGTCAATCTGGAAAATGTATTAACGAGCAACGTATCTACATACATAGTATTGTTACTGTAAGGTTAACATGACTTTAATACCCCCAGAATCAATTTGTATAATTTTATTATATGATCCAGCAAACGAGGTACCACTTATTAAATTGAAACACACACATTTTGTACGATACAGGAGTTAAGTATTACAACCGCTGACAATTTGATGATGTTATATGAGATATGTACATCGCTCATTTCATGTATGTCGGTTTGCATATCTCTCGTCCGTGTGAAATAACTTCTGAATTTTCCATAACTCGAATATGATCACAATTTAGCTTATAGCAAGGACGGGAACGCTTGCCAGTTTTTATCGGTCCAGAATCAGCAGATATATTGAAAACGAAAAAAAAACAATGAGCCGTCTTCATTTTTGATGTTGTGATGGAAAATTCTTACAAAGCTTATAAATTGGAGATATTTTACACCACACTCCAGAAGTGGCAGGAATATTTTCAATAGTTGATCACATTTTATCTGGAGATATACAAATATCCTAACTTATAAAGCTTTTGCAAATATTTAGTCGTCAGCAACTGTTTCAAACATTAACTGCTTTACAAGATTTCACATTGACTGATAAGACATACATGGGTATTTCTCAGCAAATTTCGAAACTCATGTCCTGAGCCGTTGATGTTAAGTTGGATGGATTTATCATCAATTTAACTTTTTTATTATATCAATAAGTATCTGCACTAATATTTCAAAAGCAAAAATTTAGATAACATATTGACACAAAAAATACGATAAATTTATTAGTCTAAATGTCAATCCCTCATCTCGTCCCTGGGTCTGAAATTAATAATAAAAAAATAAATACAATCAAATCTGTTCATATTCTTATAAATTGAATATTACTAAAATATTTGGTAATAAGTATGGATTGTATAGTCAAGCTTTCATTGGTAAAAAATAGATATGTATATAAAAAATCTATTTAAACTATGTCCCTTGAAATAAAATCATTCCCTTACCCATTATAAATATTCGAATTGTGGCCACACCATTTGATATTATTGCACGCTGCTGTTATGTTTGTGAAACTTGACAGTACTGCTAACAATGTCAACATGGCGGAATTTCTTAATAGTGAAAAGAGTTGCTGCAAAAAAGTATTGGATTTCAATAATTAGAACATTACATTTCTCTGTGTCATTACCTCACTGTTCATATTAAAAGGTAAGTCATTATATTGTTCGAATGTTTCAATGATTTTTTTCTTGTTTTGCGCAGTAAACTGCATTCACAAAATGCTAAATCAATTTGAGGTGATGTTGGTTACGGTGTTGTTTATGCAAATCCGTCATTCCCTCACGGTCACTCCCCCACTATATTAGAAAGTGAGGCAATGGAAATTATATGAGGGAATGATTTTTGCATATATAAAATTGTGGTTTGGGTGTTATTGTTTAACTCCGGGTTGTATAGCATGTGTTTTCAATTTTAACAGATATCCGTATATCGAGAATGGGTAAAATGAAGAAGTAAGTGTAGAAGAAAAAAAAAAATAAAAAAGGAATACGAGAGAAAAAGAGAGCAAATGAAAATTAATGCTGAGTCGTCAGAAGTTTTGCGTGAAAACGAAAGATTAAAGTATTTAAAGAAGAAGAGAAAAGGTTAAGTCAATAAGTTCTATGAGTGCAAGAGAAACTAGCCAAAAACGAAACCAATGGAAAAAGAATAGTAAAGTTTATAGGGAAAGCGAGTTACATTACAAACAAATTTACAGAGAATAGTTAAAGAAACACCCCAACCAAGTCCTGCACCATCTTTACAGCACAGAGCAGAGAATTTGTCTGCTCTCAATAGACGTAGCATGCACAAGCGGTGAACTATTCTGTACGCGAAGATTAAAAGTTTGGAAAATAAAGTAAGGAACGCAGTCAAGCTTATCGAAAAATATAAGAAGAGGTGTTTGAGATTGACAACTAAAAATACTGACCCAAACTCTCCAGCAACTAAAGTGCCTTCGCTTTTAAAGAATATACAAATTCCTGACGTTGTAAGAAAAATACTCATTTTCGGTGAAGCCTGTCAACGGACCTCAAAAATATCTATGAAGATCTTGGAAGTAAACATGGAGAAAAGAAAAAATATTACAAAATGTTGACGCTGCAATTAGTACAAACGATTCAAATTGCTATATAGATCGAAACATCTTTTAAAAACGATACGTACAAAAAGAACCGTACTCGTAAAGTTAGCTCCAAAATGCTGAAAGTTAAGGGTGATGTTGTTCGTTTCTTAGAGAAGTATGAAAATACGAGGATGTGCCCAAGGAAGAAGAACTAGTCTAAGCTCTCTGAAGTATAAAACAAATCTCACTACAATATTAATAAATTAACTTATGTTTCTTATTGAAATTCAGCATCAAATTGTTGTAAAACTCATTCCCCCATCCTATCAGTCATTCCCTCATTTCATAGTTTTGTAAAAGTCATTTTTCTACATGTTATACACAAAAATATGGAGGACTTTCATTTTCAATGAACCTCACTAAACTAAAACTTTATATTTCTGCAAAAAAGGATGTATTGTCATTATTTTCAAGAAATCCAAAATGAAATTCCTAAATTTGTTGAGAACTACCCACAAACCTTTGTACCGGTATTTTCAGTAAGAGGTTGCCTGGTCTCAGGATATTTGTCATTTACTTGCACTAATATCATGTTTCAAGTAATTTTTTTATATTTTAGTGAATTATTATATATCTACCTATAAATCGTAATTGTACATTTCTGGAGAAGCTAAGAAACACCGAAAAATTAAATTAAGTAGAATTAGAGTTGTCTAACGCCTTAAACATCGTAGCCATGCAGTGCTTTTATGCTGAGTTGCAGTAACCATCGGATAGCTATGTCAGTTTGAGAGCAGTTTCCACTTGCTGTCAAATCTATTACACGACTACTGCTATTCCGCATAAAACCGCTGCAAAGCTGGACCGTTTTACGTTGGCTGAACGCTCCCATTGGTGCCAACCTCAGTCAATCACATCTCTAGTTTGAATTTTACTATGACTATACATGTGAAAAAATAAAATATTTTTACAAGTAGTATACTCGTATATCATAAGGGCATCTAATTTTTCCGAGAAAAAGTAATCGAAGAAACACGTTGCCAAGTAATATTTAACAAGAAGCATGAGTGCTGGTAGTTTTTGCACCTGCACGATTTTTTTGTTGTTGAAAAAATATTACTTTGCATTGCGTTGTTTCGATTTCGATTTTCACAGGAAAAAAATTAGATGCCCCAATGGTACTTGACAAGAGTATTTCATGAGTAACAGATTATTCTGCATACACATAGACATAGCTTACAAAACATACTACCTATTATACATGCATACATAATAAGTATGTAGGGATTAATTTGAAAACCGAAAAACCAGTAATTTATTTAATCACAAAATACTACAAACTTAATTATTTATGGTTCAATTAAAACATAAATTTCAGTAGGAATATTGCTTGAAATCTTTGTTAACTCATGAATAACGTTGGGTGTAGGTAAATCATTAATGCTGTTGATGGGTCCAACTGTACAGTGAGAAGCTCGAGGAGTGACTGCACGATCTTCTGTTTTCTGTTTTTTAGCTAGAGGTTCTGAGGCGTCACTTCTAAGGGTGTTTATGATGTTGGAATAACAGTATAAATAGGTATTGTAATTTTTGGTAACAACAGCTGTCAAGTTTTGCCGCGGGTAAACTCGAAAAAACTGCTGACAGTTTTTCCAGCTAGAAACCACTTGTAATTCAAAATTGCGCGTATGTGGTTGGTAGAAATTAAGACGAGGCAAGTATTCAGTTAAGTATACTGAACAGATTTGATTATTTCTTTTATTACTGTAATTTAGCTCAGATATCCTCTTTAATCAAAGAGGTGCTAATTCGTCCGCCTTCCAAAATAAAAAATTATTTTAATTAAGAAATAATAATAGCGACGAGTTCCAGTGTTTCATAGTCCGTTGATACTACTTCGTTTTTGAAAACCGATGCGATCGACGTGAAGTTATGATAAAAAACAAAGATTCTGCGCAGGGTGAGGGGACAAAAATTTTTAGTAATTCTCAAACTTTCTTTTTGCAAATTTTGATTTACTCCAAAAATAGTGCGTAACGTCTGAAAATTGTACCTGTGGAATTTCTATAGAAATTAATCCTATAACCTACAATCTTCAAGCTGGAGATATCTAAATGAATAATCCTTATATATGACTGCACAATAAAAACCTTTTGATATGTAAATAACCTCAAATTAATACCGGAGGTATAACTCTACAGACATGCAACTCGATATAGTAAAATTGTAATAACTAGTTTTGTGGTCTGACCATCAAGGATATTGTTTAAATTATCTGCTAGAACCCATACTAGTCTACATCTACCAACTATTAAATAGTCAATCATATTTTCTGGAGGTATTATTTTACAGGGTTCATTAACATATTTTTCGCTGTTAAGCGTTCATCGATTTGCCACATTAATTTCTGTTATTTTTGATCACGGAATGTATTTCTCAGTAGTAATTCTTAAACTATGCCGTGGTTTATAGAATTATCATACGAAAAAATTCTGCGAATTTTATTAAAATTAGAGAGGATCCTCCTTCCGTGATTTTCTGTGAACTATTATTTGTCCATTTGGTATGCAGAAATAAATTTGGGTATATGCTTTATTTATTTTCCACCATCGAAAGGTGAGCCCCTTAGATTAACCTTAGGGATGGTGCAAAACACCAAAACCGCTACCCCGAAGTTGCGTCAACACCGAGTTGCCGTTTTCTGTCGTTGTATGACACAAAAATGTGCTTTGAGTGAAGATAAATTACCTCGATTGGTACAACAGGGTCGGCACGGGTGTTATGTAAAAAGGCTATAAAACGTCAAAAAACCTAGGATCGTTGTGAGCGTCCATCTATCGAGGAATGACTCAACGACACGCATTGTTGGTTGCATATGTTTTGTGAAGCCGAGTAGTCTGTAGTTTTTATCTCTAAGAAGATGTAAAACAAAGAAAGTTGGTTGAAGAGCAAGATCGCATCTGGATGATTATGTGTAAAATCAGTGATATTTGATGTGTGAGAAAATTATTACTGAATATGCTGCCAATGAAGTGTATCTATTAGCTGTGCCCTACGGGTTATTTATATGTTGTCCTTTCTGAAGACAGGTTATGTTTAAACTTAAAAAATTACAATTTATCCGGTTTTTTTTTGTGTTTTCGAAAACGTTGAGTAGCTCTACGAGAAATCGTCACCGAGCCCACGTTGTGTGCAAGTAAATGACATTACAGAAAAATTAGTAATGACGCATCACATTTTCACTTATAAAAATAGTATTTATTCAGTTATCAGAGTAATTACATTAAATACGTGTGATTTGAGTAATTGTGTTGCTGTATGAAATTAGAGTACTTGAAGAAGATAATTATGTTCTATTATTTATCTATTATATACCCATTATAATAGGTCAGACAGCTCAAATAACCAGTATAGATGAATTTGAATGTGTTTTGAGTACGATTTATCCAACATTTGATGAAGTCATATGCACTGGAGATTTTAATATTAACCTGATAAACGTCGATCAAGCACATGTGGTAAGATTTTATTCTGTTCTAGACTCTTTCTCGATTAAGCAAATGATAGACTGTCCAACTAGAATCTCTGGTGCATGTGCAAGTTTATTGGATCTTATCATTTCTGGCGATGAGGTTGTATTTAATACAGGTGTCATGGATAGTGGTGGTATGTCGGATCATTTTATAATTTTTGGTAAGGTAAATGTTAGTGAAGTAAGAAATAAACCTAAAATCATTACTATTCGCTCATATAAAAACTTTAATGAAGACAGTTTTTGCAGGGATCTATTTGCAACCCCGTTTTTCATGTTATTTGACCAAGATAGCGCCGACTCTAAAGCTTGCGTTTGTTACAAACCTGCTTACAAACCTTTTTGATAGGCATTTTCCTTTGGTATCAATGAGAGTTACTAAACCTAGAGCCCCATGGCTTACAGATGTGGTGAAGCGAATGCAGAATCTCAGGGACAGGGCGCTGCTTAGATTTAGAAGAACAGGACTGAATGTTCATTTGCGATATTATCAGGACTTAAGTAATTTAGTTAATGCTGCTATTATCAGAGAAAAAAATCTTATTATACATACATATTAGAAAGTTGCAGTTCAACAGAAATGTGGAAAAGGTTAAGGAACAATGGAATAGTCTCTCAAAAGGATAACACCATTCCAAATTCCTTTAATGATGTCAATGAACTTAATAATTTTTTTGTTAACAGTATACCTAATATACAGCCTTCTCCTAACTTTTATTTCTACAGAAATACTAGGAGGAATTCTTCAAATTTTGAATTCAAAGAAGTTAATGATTTATTTGTTTATGAAGCAATTTGCCGTATTAAAACTAATGCTCGTGATTGCGATGGTTTTAATTTAAATTTTATTAAACTATGTTGCCCTCATATTATTCCTTATTTAACTCATATAATTAATTTTTGTTTTACGCATAATCAGTTCCCTGATCTGTTGAAGCAAGCAAATGTCTGTGTTCTGTCAAAAAACCTAATCCTTCAGATCTTAAAGATCTCAGAGGGATTAGTGTTTTACCATTTTTCTCTAAATTACTTGAGCGTGCAATGGAGGAGCAACTTTCTTATCATTTGTCACAATTTTCATTACTGCCAATTGTACAGTCTGGATTTAGGAAAAATCATAGCTGTACGGCGTCTTTACTTCATGTAACAGACGACATAATTAGAGCTACAGATCGTGGCGAGTGTACTGTTCTTGTTCTGCTGGATTTC